CTTCTTATAAAACATAGGCATTTCTGGCCCTGTATGGCAGAATCTCAAGTTTTATTTTGCATTTTCACAGTGACTAATAGATTATCTTAATCACATTTGATGATGTGTTTTTATATAAATTTTCAAATCTTTGTCTTTAAAAATAAATTTAAAATATACATATATAACAAGTTGTCACTGTATAGCCCAGGCTGGCCTCTAATTTGCAATCCTCTTGTCCCCGCCTTCCCAGTGCTGAAATTACAGATGCATACTGCCACACTTTGCCTACTTTTGCTCATTTTTGTAATTTTTAATTGAAATCTTTAGTACACTCTGTATACAAGTTACCAAATGTTATACATGAACCCTTCCCCCCCCAATCTGTACCATACCTTTTCCTTAGTATTATCTTTTGCAGGCCAAAAGTTAGCATGCAAAGTGATGTGTCATTGTGGAACGTTGATAAATGTATGTCACCTCACTTCCTCGCCATCTCACTTCTTTATTGTCCTAGCCATCTGCCTTGCCTCCTCTTCCCCGTTCTCCTTGCCTTCCCTCTTTCTGATAGTCTTTCTAATCCCCATGTAGTCTTTACTTCTGTGTCAATGGATTCCATTACCCACCTCCCCAATCCCTTAAAATCTCTTCTGCCATTTTCTACTTTTCCTCTCTTTCTCCTTCCCTTTCTTCCTTTTCTTTTTCCCTCCTGGAACACACACAGTCTCATACACACAGTCACACATTCACAGGCACATGCACACAAATATAAATTTAAATCTAGATTCCTCATATAAAAAAATTCTTAATTTTGATGAAGATCATCTTCTTTTCCACTTTAAAAATGCACTGTATTTTTTTGTGCCACTACTAAGAATTCTCAGCCTAAACAAAGCCATGAGATTTTCTCTGTGTTTTTATATTGGGATCTAGGATCTATTTTGAGTAAACTTTTAAGTAATTTAGGAAGCATAGTTTTTTTTTATCTTTAAATTAAGACTATCCACTTTTCTCTCTTACTTGTAGAAAATCCTCTTATATAACCTCATTTAATGAAATTTATTCTAAAGGAAAGAACATATTTTAACCTAGAATGTGAACTCAGACATCTTCCAGCACAAAGACCCTTGATGTGATGAAGAGCGTGCCTTTGCCTAAGAGGACACTCGCAGCTTGCTTTCCTATGTCCCAAAACTGAACATAGTTTATACCTCAGTTTCCTTTGCCCAGCGCTTTAGAAGCTCAGGAAAGACTGAAAAAAACAAAACAAAACAAAACAATTAAAACTTCAGTATGAGAATGGAACTTAAGGCTCATTTAACCCAATTCTTCCTTTTTAAATTTACAAAAAATAACACAAGCATGTGACAGAGCATACACGCCTCGGAAGTGTTATCTTGGGTATTGGAGCACCAGGGGATGCTGGCGTCTATTTCTCTGTCCTTTCCTTGCTGTCTGGGGCTGGCATCTCTCCCTCCATATGACCTCACATCTTGGTATGCCCCAGGCTCAGTCCTCAGATCTCTCGTTTCTTTCTTCCACTAACTCCCTGGGTGATCTCATTCGGCTCAAAATGCCGGTTATACTCTATGAGTCAAAGCTCCTCCAGCCTTCTGCTTCCCTGAACTCCAGACTCATTGACCTGGCTGCCTCCTCAACACATCGGAGATGTCTAACATGCTCATGCACCACAGCCGTCTTGTTCTTTCCCCACATACCCTTGCTTTGGGACTGTCTATCAGACCCTCTCAACCCTCTCAGTGAACTTTACCCAGAATCTGGCAGCACCGTAGCCACAAATGTTGCCTGTAAGGCCTGGGATTTGGCCTCTACTCCTCACTGGTTTTGTAGCTTCCCCTCCTTCTCCTAAGCCCTGGTCTCCACAGTAGCCATAAAGATCATTAAGGCTAGGCCAGATCTTGCCCCTGTCCAGCAGAATCTCGCGGATGGCTTTTCATCATTCTGAATCACATTTCTGTATAACTGGACCCTAGCAAGTCCCTCTGAACTTTTCTGCCATTCTCACCTCTGCCCATTTACTGGTCTTTGAGTCCAAGTTTGCTCTGAATGGGTTCGAGTATGCTGGTTCTGTGCTTTGGTGCTTAATGTTGTGTCTTCTCAAGACCTTAGCACACTGAGGTGTGCTAATCCTCTGAAAGGCCACCTTTCCTCAGAGGCCTTCCCCGATTCCTCTCCCAAGTACCTGCCCTCCCCCAACCTGCTCTGTTTTCTCAATGTGCTGTAGCTTTCTTTGTAGAGCTCACCACTACCTACCTGTCATCAGATTACTTGCTTTCTGCTTGCCATCAAGGTGGAACTTTGCTTGGTACATAGCTCTAACCCCAGCTTCCAGAGCAAGTGGCCCATAGTCCATGCTCAGAGATCAGCACCAGTACATTCCTTTCTATTTGGTTTTACTTCCACCTTTTCCCCAGCAGTTGTTACTGTTATGAGGTAAATAACCTTTTGGATTTCTGCCAAAAAAAAAAAAAAAAAAAAAAAAAAGCATTTGTGAAAGTGGCTCCACAGCTTTTCTGGTGACACAAGCTTTACACTGTATTTTTCTCACTTTTAACAGTGCCTACTTGGATGATTAGTTTATCCATTCATCTATGTAGAGTAGACAGCTTAGGCCACAGGTACAACCCAGTTCGTTGCCTTGTTAACAGGTTGTGCCCCCTCTCCACTGCTGTAAACAAAACTGCAGTGCATATGGCGGCACAAATCTCTGAACACTCAGACGAAAGAACTCATCCTGGATGTTCTGTCAGTGACTTGGTAGATGCTGGCCATGGGCATGTAAGATGCTTTTTCTTCTATTATATTTCCAGCAACAGTATGTTGCTATTACCTCACGTCTATGCCAACACAACATATTGTGATCACTTGTAGCAAATAATAATAATAATGATAATAATAATAATAATAATAAATAATAAAAATAAAGTTCAACTCCTTTACAAATGAGAACAGTAATAAAAACCTAGGCTTGCAAATTGATATTTTCCATTTCCTAGCTGGTAAGCTCTTGAATTCCTAGATCAGAAATAAGTTTCATAAAGAAAGAAGTAAAGTGTGAGAGAAAGTATAGACAGTGATTTGAGATGAGAAGCATTTGTCTTGGTAGAAGCTTCCAGAGACTTTCTTATGGAGTAGAGTCATCTCTTGATGTGTGCTGAGAGATCAAAAGCCCACACCCAGCATCTTGGTTTTCTTGCTATAAAATACTATTTCTAGATATATATTTTTTCTTAAACTCACTTTTATTATTTTTATGTGTTCATGGGTATGTGTGCAAGTAGGTACAGTGTACTTGGAGGCCAGAGGCCTATGATCCCCTGGAACTGGAGTTACGAGCCGAGGTGTTCTGCCTAACACAGGTGCTGGGAACCGAACTCAAGGCCCCCTGGAAGAGCAGAGGTGCTCTTAACCACTGGGCCATGGCTCCAGCCCTGATTTTTATTTTTTTCTTAAAATGAACCCACAACACAAAACCTCAAGTGTAAGAGTTGGCTTTAGGGTTCATGGAAGTTGTTGCACTGGGTGATTTATTGTTACTTAACAACTTTGTGGTTTCTGCTGGGCCTCACTGGTGCATACTTGGAGAGCAAGAACAGTTATCTGTTTTAATAACTAGGCCCGGCGTCCAGAACACAAGCACAGGAATGCACACAAGGAGCCATGCCAAGCCCAGGGAGAGCCTGTTCACCAGCAGCACCTGGGGGCTTCTATGATGTAGTTGGTTTCAGCCCAGGACGAGGTGTGAATGTCGGTTGGTTCTTGCTTGCTCTGCCTCTGTCCCTGCTGGCAGGGCTGTGATGAGGTTCAAAGGCGAGCCCCCAGTCTTCTCTGTTTATATGAGCTGTTGAATGTGGGATGAGAGGTGCTTTGGTGTAGCCTCAGTATATCAGAATTTGAAGAGTTCTGGGCAGTTAGCTGCTCTCATTATAGAGATGATAAACCTGAGTTCAGAGAGACAAAGAGAGTCATAGGTGATAGCCCAGACACTTTAAACCTCGTCTCTTAAACAGTAAAAGGAAAGTGTACCCTTTCATATGCACTTATAGACTGAGATCATTAGCTGCAAAAAAAAGGTGCTTTGGCTTTGAAATTCCTAAGAAGCAATGTAAAGACAGTCTGTACATCCCTGAACCCATGCACCCACCACCTACCGTGGCAAACATTGTTAATCAACCTCAGAAAGCTCCAACCAAGCCTGGGAACCCTCTTTAAACAGAGCTGCTGGTCACTAACCAACTAGCCATAATTGAGCCAAGTGTTCATGTGAATTAAATACCTGTTTATTCCCCCCTTGTAAATGTGTGACTCATGAGTCAGTGCTAAGAGCCCTGGACTTTAAGCCAGAAGAATGTGGTTTGAACCCCCCCCCCAGTTTGCTTTTCCTGGCTGTGTTGTCTTAGGCAAGTCATTTAACTTTTCTAGAACTAGTTTGCCCCTGAAATGAAGGAGGTGAGTGGGATGGTCATTAAGCAGCCTCATGCCCTGAACGACTTTCTGATTCAAGGCACAGAGATTTTTGAGTCTATGACTTTATAGTCATAAGCAGGTTTTTGATGAAGACCATAGGAGTTTTGGGTTTTTTTTTTTTTTTTTAGGAAATTTGCATATCTGCTGTTGGAATTCAGATGTACCTGTTTCTAGCCTTCCTTGGCTACTGATTTGTACTTATGTGGATCCACAGGTCTATATCACTGAAACCAGAATTTAGGCATTCACGGGGCAAAGTTGAATGACTTCATGAGAGGACTTAAAAGAACCCATTCTTGACTAAGTGGGACACAAATGACCTCACACACCAGGCTGAGCAAGGCTCCATATAGCCAGCCCGCCCTGCAGTTCAGTGTCTTGAGTTACTTTTTGATTTTGCTCACTCCACTTGTACCTGCTGATGAGCAAGAGGCCCTGCATTCATGCAGGTCTTAGCAAGGGGTTCTCTTTGGACTCCTCGACCCTGGCCTCTGTTGTGCCTTGTGATGACTTGACTTTTGTTTGCTCTCCAGGCTCTCCTTCCCTACGGGCGTATCCTCTCCTGTCTGTGATCACCCGACAGCCCACAGTCATCTCCCACCTGGTTCCCACTGGCCCCGGAATCACCCCAGTGTTATCTCGCCATCCAGTCACCGAGGCTGCTGCTGCTGCTGCTGCTGCTGCTGCTGAGACCCCTGGTGGTGAGGCATTAGCCAGCAGTGAATCTGAGACAGAACAGCCCACACCCCGGCAGAAGAAACCACGCAGGAGTCGCACCATTTTCACAGAGCTGCAGCTCATGGGTCTGGAGAAGAAATTTCAGAAGCAGAAGTATTTGTCTACCCCAGACAGGTGAGGGCCTACAGAAGGCACTCTCAGTAGGCCCTAGGTCCTACCTGGAGAAGCGTTTTGCTCTCTGTCGGTTGTAAATTCACAAAAGGCACTTTTAGTGCTGGCCTACACTCTGGCCCAGATTCTATTCCTTTGCTCAAGTCCTGTGTTAGAAGACGCAGCCCTCCTCCCCTACTATCTGACCTGACAGTAGCTTATCAAGGCTCACCAGTTAGGGGAGGTGATGGGGAGAAGAGGAAGTGAGGGTGGGACCTGGAGAAGATGTTGGAGGGGCTACAATAGGTATACAAAGTGAATAAATTGTAAAAAAAAAAAAAAATTAAAATAAAATAAAAAGTAAAAAGAGGCAGCCCACCTGAATCTGTGATATCAGCCCACAGTGCCTGAAGATGTGCTATCCTGTCTATCCTATGATTTTAATAAACCCCTTCAGAATAACAAGCAAAGAAAAGTTGGGCAAATAGTTGCCCAGCCTCTCTGTCAGGCAGCTGGCTTGGTTTTTAAAGTCCCTTGACATTTAGCATCATATGCAGTGTGTCCAGACCTGGGCCTGGGAGCCGTGATTTCAGCCCTCCCTTCCCCTCTTGAATGTCTAGAGTTTGCTGGCCTGGCTTTGTCTGGAAAGGTCTGGATTGATACAGGTGAGGAGGTTTCTGAGACCTTAATGCATCATATCAGGATTGAAGCAGAGTCACTGGCAGAGATTGCTGAAAAGCTTAAGGAAACTCTCCTTTTTAAACACATTGCAGTTAATGTTGGGGATGATGGAACCCTTGCTTTCTATAGGGGCCTAACGCCTCACCCTCTGTCTTTAATTTAGTATCTTAATTATAAAACATGCTGAGGTATGTCTTGCCTTGCTTCCTTATTTCACCCTCAGGGTACTGGGAGACTTCTCCAGATATTTTAATTTTTTTTCCTAACTGCTTTGTCCATATTAGGTTGACCCCAGTCCTATGAAAAAGAATAGGAACTAAATGCAAATGAATGCCTGAAGCTATTTAGGGGTTGTTTAGAAAACAAAATGGAAATGAAAGAGGAACCTTCAAATCAGGGAGAATTTGTCTATTGGTTCCACAAGCCAGTTTCTTGCTAAAGGTCTCTTTGGTGCTGGCAAAGTGGGGAGGCAGGGGTCTAGAAATCAGTAAACAGAGCCCTTCTTTGAAGGACATCATGGGGAAAGAATGACTACAGTTGCTCTAGTATAGAGAGGCAGTACTGGACTCATATGTTGCCATAGAAACCCAAAGATATTTCTGAGTGTGGCAGGGAAAACTAAGAAGTTCCAGAAGAGACAGAGCATTCTACATAGTGGGGATATCCCGAAAATGCATAAACTCTTGTCTCGCTGGGAATGTTGAAGGAACTATAAGTATGGGTGTAGAGGAGGGTAGGAAGGACCTCATATGCCTGGCTGAGGAACAGAGTCTTACTGTTGAGGTTGTCACTGGCCCATAAGGGCCAGATTTACATTTTAGAATCACAGCTTTGGTAGCATCACAACTGATGGATTGTAGGTAAGTGATGGGACAGAGAAAGAAGCCAATTATGAAAGAATCTTGTGATGGCTGCAAGGAATAGAGAGGAGAAAGGAGAAGGGAAAATGTTTGAAAATGGAACGGGAAGAACTGACTTTGGATGAGGGAGAAGGGTGAGAGTTGAGTGTCCTATGGTTTCCGAATGAGGCAGCCCACTAGGATACAAGGGTGTTATTCATGGAAGCCAAAAGGCTGGGGACAGGCTGGGATTGATGGGGAAGAGTGAGCTTTGTTTTAAACACTCACACTGAGGGTCATTTTTAGGAAGACATGTCTGTGAATTAATACATGCGATCTCAGGTAGCAGGTAACTGAGCTTCATGGGCTTGTGTAACCAGGCAGAACACCCATCCTTGTTAGCTGTATGGTTGTGTTTCTAAGAGGCTTCTAAGAGGCTTCTCAGAAAGTATGGGTAAAAGTTAGGTTTATTATCAGACGCTAGAAAATGTAACAGAAAAGAAAGAGAGAAATGTTAGTTCCTAATCAATCTGTTGGGGCTTCCTGATACTTGCCTGGGCTTCTCTCAGTGGACCCACACAGACTTGATTCACTTGCCTAAGGAGGAGGACTCCATCTGGCTGGCACTGAGCTGCTGCCTCAACCTGCCCGCCCTCTCCTGTGTTCCCTACCTTCCTACGTGACCAGAGCCATGAGCACTCCCTCCTCCCACAACCCCTGCCCTCCTCCTCCGTGTTTGTTTCTCCAGTTTCCTAGGTGATTCCATTTGAGTGAATATGCAGGGAAGTGAGAATTTGTAACGGTGGCAGGTAATGAGAGAAAGCTGATGACAGTGAGATGTTTCTGCAGCCAGTGTGAGTCAAGGATGCATTTTTCCCAAGTGAGCGAACAGCATTTGCTAATGCGGTGGCAGAACTGTGAACCTTCCACTGCCTAATGCACCTGACAGCAAAGGTGAACCAGGCTCAGGAAAACCCTGCAAGAGCCTGAAAGGACCCTTACCATCACCGGAGCCCAGAATCACCCGAGGACCAGAATTGGGGGATTGCCTGGATTGCTTGTTCAGAATGAATGACTGCTTACGGCATAGTACTTTCGTTAAAGGGAAGAGCTAAGTGCTGTTGGCATTGGGAGTTATTGCTTTGGTCAGTTAATCACTTTCAATAAAATACTCAGCTGCCAAGTAGCCTCTCTACAGCGACAACCAGGTATATATATGAATGTAGCTTTAAGACAGACTCAACAGTCCTTTGAAGAGGGATTTTATTTTTAAAATTATTACTAGAAGCTTAATTAATGTACCCTGATCAGAGCAGGAGTCTTGGGCAGCTATGCCAGTGAGCACCAAGAGTTGGCTGATGCCAGGGTCAGAGCCCAGTGTTTGTGCCAATGCTAGATCTCCTCAGGTAGAGAAAGCTGCAGCCGAGGCATTGCACCTGGACTGCCTGTGGCTTAAGTTTGAGCCTGTGCAGGCTTGCAAGAAATAGTGGGTCCTAGATCTGCAAAGTGGCAATTCTCAGAAACCTGGCAGCCTTCAAGCGGTGGCAGGCGGTTACTGCTCAAGCTGATGTACAAGCTCGAAGTGCCTCATTGAGAGGGTTGGCGCTCAGGGGAGGTTGCAGTCAGCCAGCTCAGGTTTTCTCAGATCTCATGTCCCTCCAGATGGTACCAGGTAGCCACATAGTCCCTAGCTACTGCCTTGAGAACTAAGGATGAAACCTGACTACCTGCCCCTTCATACTCCATGTTCCATTTGGAGGGTGGCTGCTCCCACAGGCTGTGGCATCTGTTTTCCTTCAACAGTTCTGCTTTGTGGAGAAGTGTTCTGAGGTGGGCCCTCACACAGAAGGTACCATACAAGTCAGACATGGGTGGATTTCATTCTTGTTCCAGGATCCAGGAGTCAGCAAAAATGGAGCCAGAAGAGTGTTTATTTCAGGCTTTTTTTTTTTTTTGGGGGGGGGAGGCACATGGTCTGTCCCAGCTACTCATATCTGCTGATGTAGCACAGAGGTAGCCATGAGCAATATGAAGGCAAATGGACTTGTCTGTGTTCCAAAAAACTTTATTTAAAAGAAAATGAACTGTCAGGAAGAGCTTGGCCATGTTATTGTGAAATTCTAATCTCTCTCTAAGCTTTAAATCTTTTATCTGTAAAATGGGAATAATTATACCAACTTCAGCATGATGAAAAGATAGCACTGGGCAGGGGCTTAGCATGTATGTGTCTGGGATGCTGACATGCTCAGGAAATGGCGGCTGTGTTGTTAGGCTTACCTCCCATGGTACACTCTATGGCAATGGCTTTGACTTCAGGGCTTTTCAGAAGGCCGCGGAGAAAAGTAGAGACACGATGAGCATAGAAAGCAGGAGGGACTATGGATTTAATGCTTCACTGGACTCTTTAAGGTTTTACATTCCGATCATTGTGATAATTTAGGGCAGCTACAGTAAATTCCTGGGGCTGAAGAGGTGGCTTAGTGGATGAGTCACTTGCTTCTCTAGTATGAGGACTGAAGTTCAGGTCCCCAGAACCTTCATGGAAATTGGACAGGTGGGGTTGCAGCCTGTAATCCCAGCACTTAGTAGGCAGAAACAGGATACCCATGGGTCCGTCAAGATATCCTGTCTCAATAAATAAAGTGGGCTGTAATGGGAGAGGACACCGGACATCAACTTTGGGTTCCCACACACATCACACACACACACACACACACACACACACACACACACACACACACACAC